CAGAATGATGTACGAAATGAAATTTTCAAGAGCGTCAGATATTTTCAGGCTCCTCTTTTGAAAACTCGTTTCTTGTTTGTTTGAGCTACCCACTGTGTCACTTCATTTGCACTCTAAAAAACATAATTTTTCTCTCGGAATTTTATCCTGTGAGTAGTCCGGAGAACAACGTGCTCATCGCCTTGTGAATTTGTAATCACTCGATTTTTTTCTGCTAATTGTTAAATTCTTTAGATTTAGGTACTTTCCGACAAAGAGAAACGCGCTGCATATGACAGACATGGGGAAGAGGGAGTGAAAAAGATGATGGGTGGTGGTGGAGGTGGGCATGATCCTTTCTCCTCATTCTTCGGCGACTTTTTCGGAGGTGGTCACCACGATAACGGAGAAGAAGAAAGGCTGAGGGTATGCTTTACTCTTCATACAACCAAATTTCGATCCATTACTTCTTCTTCATCTGTTCAGGGAGCTGACGTCGTTTTCGACTTGTTCGTCTCTTTGGAAGAAGTTTATGTCGGTCACTTCGTGGAAGTGAAACGGAAGAAAGCCGTTTACAAACAAACATCAGGAACGAGGAAGTGTCGCTGTCGGGCCGAAATGCGCACGGAACAAATTGGAATGGGACGATTCCAAATGTACCAAGTCAGTTAGCCATTCACCCTTGCTGATTTCTGACGTTGTCCTTCTGATCTAGGGACCTGATTAATTTTTTGTGAAACCTCTAGACAGCTTAAAACGAGCTCTCTTAATATCATCATAAATAGGATAATTAAAATCAATTACTATTCATCACCATTCGACGGGATTTTTAGAGAATACCCAACTGTGGTCACTACTATCTGCTACTTGGCGACCACTCATTGAATTACTGTGCATTTCCACCTTCCACAATCACATTGGAGGAACGAATGTTGAATTTAGTTGTACCCAAATGCAAACTGCATGATAACTAGAGCGATTCACAGCCACAGTGTAGTATCGTAGTCACGATGGCTGAAAATGGGAGGGGTGGATCGCTGCGCAGCCACGGTAGCCTTTCCTCCAAAGTAGTAAACTCTGCCCCTCTGCAGGACCCTTGCGGGATCAATGAGTGTACTTGTATGGTAGCTTCTTGCACTGATCGACCAAATCTCCCAAAGAAGATATCAGGCCCAACAAAATGTAGCTGGTGGTCGCAATCTCAAAACGGTAATGGTGAGCGAACTTGATGAACTATAATGGAAGAAGGATTCCTTTCCATAGCTTTTAATTCCCGTGCTGAAATGATCTTGTTGATTGGATTGCTCGGTGTCTGGTAGTGAACTTCCAGAAAAAAAGTTTGTTCGTGAAATTCAGCTAGATTTCAGCTCCAGACGATTTTGCGCGCTCTTGTGCTTCTCAGAAATTTGAGCTCTAATGCTGCGCATCATTTATCCAATTCCAATCCCATTTTCGAACGGCTCTTTCTAGTTGTTTCATTTCCTCCTAATTTGCTAATGCTGTTCTTCAGGTTGAGGTATGTGACGAGTGCCCGAATGTTGTGCTCACTCAGGAAACGAGAACATTAGAGGTACTGTTGAACCAACCCCATGATTTCAGACCAGAAATTTTATTGGAACTTTTCTAGATTGAAGTCGAGGTCGGAGCACATGACGGCCATGAACAAGTTTTTGTTGGCGAAGGCGAACCTCACATTGAAGGGGAACCTGGCGATTTGAAGATCAGAATAAATGTTGAGAAACACCCCAGGTATTTTTTACTGCTTCTTCTTGCTTATTTTTTTTGACATTCCAAGCAAATTACTGTTCAGATTTGAACGGAAGGGTGATGACCTCTACACTAACGTGACGATCTCACTTCAAGATGCTCTAAATGGCTTCAAAATGGAGATAGAACATCTTGATGGTCATAAGGTGACTGTGGAACGCGAAAAAGTGGGTGATTTTGTACGACTGCGGCTTTGTCACTGTTTTATTATTTATTTGCTATTTTTATTTACTATGCACGTAATTTTTGCATTAG